GGAGCTCAATTGTTTGGATGTAATGTAATCTCTTTCTTCTCCCTTGGTTCATGTATCTTGGTTTAATTTTGTAACTGGCTCCACGCCTAAAACCGGGCTACGGCCCTCCACCCACCAGGCTTTCTGGAATATGTGGTAATATAATTAGGTGGGGACTCATCGTCCCCCGTTGTCGGTGCTAAAAAAAACCATTCGTCCGAGAGCTAGAGTCGCAACACAATTGATGAGCTATAGATACATGTAGTTTGTCCTCAGGTCGATTTTTCGGTCCCGCTCGCCATTTTTTATGAGCTATAGCTCATGGATTTCAGACGTTTTTTTGGTGATTGGTCGAGCGACAGACGTGCTATAGCTCAAGAGCCGGATGTTTATATGCATTTGCATTTCACAAGATGGTCACAGAACAAATAGGAATTGCGTGTGTGCTGTGTATGCGTTGCAAAGCTCCCATCATATGGACCGCGACCGCCGTAGTTTAAGGTGTATTTGGTTTCATATATATCTCTAGAGGGGAGATGACAATCCATAGACGAGTATCGTTTGGTTCGCGGACAAGCGTGGGTATAGATAGGAATATTCTTACAGAAGTTGGATATTCTAGGCACGGAAAATTTGTCTAGCGAGCTTATCCATGTTTTCTAATATTTATCATTAACAAATAATTAATGATTATTAGTATGTTATATTATTGCTTAGTAATTATAATGGCAAGATGAATTTTTATAAGTGCTAATATGTTGATTAGTGCATGTTATGTATGCAAATTAGGACAATAGTGGTGCTAATTAACATATTTTATTTGTAATTAGCTATGATCATGACAAATCTAGTGTTAGTACATATTTATTTGTGTATAATTACTTTTTATTTTTAAATAATATAAATATAATTAGTCAAGTATTCTCACCCCATCCACTCTCATCCATCTAAACTAAACCGAAAAAACTTCGCCCTATCCATCCAACCAAACATGTAATAGGGATATCCATATCCCAAATCCATGATGGTCATATTCCATCCATTCTTGTCTTAAAGATGACAACATGCAGTAAAAACCCGTGTCGCCAACTTGTGCCCACGAGCATGGGCATGGGTACAGACTTTCACAGTTGTACCCAACGGGCAAAGGGATATGTGTGACCATTGCAAAAGAGGTACATATCCTTTAGATTCGAGGGTTTTATTCATCCCAAACTCCCAATCCCACGTAGCCGTCATCCACACGCTCCCCACCCCAACTAGCGAACTCGTGGTCACGGCGTCGGTGTCACGCCTCTCCCGGTAGCGTAGATGCACAGTTGCGCGGTCGCCGATCGCCGAACGCCTCACCCGCTCGTGTAGAGGCGTCTCCACTTCGATGCGGGGCGCCGTCCATGCCGTCATCCACTCTGACGTAGACGCGCCTCCACTCTGCTCGCACAGACACGCCTCCACTTCGACGCACAGTTGCGCAGACGTTGGCCGTAGGTCGCTGTCCTGCCGCGCAATGTCTGAGGCTTACGAGCACGCCCTCGGGCAAGACATGCTCGCGGATAGGAGGCGCGAGCACATAATCGTCCTGTTCGCTTTGGGCTTGTTTGGCTGATAAGCCATGGCTGAAAGTACTGTTGGCTGATTTGATGTGAGAGAAAAATATTGTTCGTTGGCTGAAAAAATACGGCTTATAAACCAAATAAGTCCAAGTGAATAGGGTGATTAATGCTAGCCGTGGCTGGTGGCAGAACGCGGGTACACAGTTTTACTCGCGAGTATGGGTCTACAGACCTATCAGCCTGTTCGGCTGGGGCTGGCCAGCCCCTCACACAAACACTGTTCGCATGAACAGTGTTTCCAGCCATAACTGTGTTTTCTCTCACACAAATCAGCCAGCAGTATTTTTTCATGAACTAGCCAACCGACCATGATTTATCAGCCTGTTCGTTTGGCTATGGCTTATCGTAAACGATCGTAAATTTTCAGCCGGAACAATATTTTTCTCTCACACAAACCAATCCACAGTACTTCTTCACAAACCAGCAACAGCAACAGCAACAATATGAACCAGCAGCCAGTCGAACAGGCTCTACGGTTAAAATACCCGTTGGCATCTTTACTTTTTCTCAACCCACTCCATCTCGTTGGAAGAGCGCGTGTGCCGTGTATGCGTCACATCATCTGTCCACCTCGTCTAGGAGTACTACTACTACTTGACTAGACGGGGGCTGGGCCGGGGCTCCGAAACCCAGTGGAGATCACTACAGCAAACGGGAACATCGCTTTCCATGTGTTGGTGTTTGGTGGAGGTATATTCTCATTCTGCTCCGATCCACGCAGCGCGGCCTTCTGCCTGGTGTGGGGTAGCGACGTATGATCTGTTGTTCTCGCTGTGCAGACTATCCCGTTTGGCATGGCAGTAGGAGCGAGCGAGAGAAGTGGCCAGGCCAGGCATTGATCGGCTGGGGTTTTTTTTTCCAAATCGCCAATGCGAGATGGTCAATATTTTAAGGGAGGAGCATTTTGTCATGCTCGCAGGTGAGGTGCGGTAACAAATCTGTCCGCGTCAGTCATCATTACCTTTTGGTGTTGTATAGTATGTGCCTGTTTGTGTTGTGATTCCTTTCTCATAATTCTGTCCGTCCGTCCGTCCGTCCGTGCCTCCATGTGGTGAGTTGGTGTCCAGTGCAGTTTGCCCATGAACATTTTTAGAGCCATGCATATCATGTCCATGGCCATGACCCATGAGAGGATAGGCGTAGGCACTGCTGCTGGATTTGAAACATGTTACAGTAATTGAGCTTTACTGACGCTTCGAAAAAGTTGTACTGAAGCAGCCAAGCAAGCAGCTAGGTTTCAACAGTTAACTGCACCTCCAATATCTTCAGACCGCAGTCAACTTCTTTTTTTCTCATTTTTCAATCCGAGTAACAATAATTCCCAGTGGAGGTGCTCGTAGAATAGTTGTGTTCCACACAAGAACTAGCTAGGGATGGATATCCAGCGGGAGCCACCGATCAAAGGCCAAAAATTGCATACCCGCAAAAAAAAAAGGCCAAAAATTGCAGGCTCAACAACCCTGTGCGGGCCGGGTTGTGTCGGTGGCTCACTCTAGTCTATAGTCTCTGGTCCAAAAGAAAAAACACATGGAATGCGAGGTAGGAGGAGTGGCTCCTTCTTCCACTCCTGTCATATCTTTATTTGTTTATCTTTCCCGGCACATGCGTGTTCAGCTTCTTCAGCTAGCCTGGCACCAACCATGTATGCATCTCCATCTCGGGAGTCGGGAGCATTGTCCATGGTCGACCTCGCTCACCAGCAGGAGGCTCCCTGGCCAGTTTCGTATTGCAACTGGCAAGCTAGCGTCTAGCAACCGCTGTACAGTACAGCGACGTTTCACCGGAAAAGATAGTACATACTGAGCCCTTTTTAGTCGTAGGAATTTGGATTTTGGGGCTACGGTAGCATGTTTGTTTTTATTTGGTAAATAGTGTTCAAACATGGATTAATTAGGCTCAAAACGTTCGTCTCGTAATTTTCTACAAAACTGTGTAATTAGTTTATCTTTTCGTCTACATTTAATATTCCATGCACAGGCCACAAACATTCGATGTGATAGATACTGTAGTAACTTTTTGGAAGTTGGGGTGGAACTAGAGGAAATGAACTGAAAGCTCATACTGGCCTAGTGGCCTGGGGTGACTGACGTTTGTACTCCCTGATTCAATGATTTTTAGAAAAGATTTAGTATTTCAAGCACCCTGCTATTAAATCAGATATTCTTTTTTTGTAAAAAAAAGGTAAGTTAAGCTCTGGCGTGGCAATAATTCGGTACTAACTGAGTTGCGTCGGTCGTTTGGTTTTTTAGTCGCTCCTAAAATTTATGTCACATCGAATATTTAGATACTAATAAAGAGCATTAAATATAGATTAATTATAAAACCAATTACATAGATGGAGGCTAATTTACGAGATGATTTTTTAAGCCTAATTAATCTATCATTAACACATGTTTACTGTAGCACCATATTGTCAAATCAGGGACTAATTAGGCTTAAAAGATTCGTCTCATAAATTAGTCGCAAGTTGTGTAATTAGTTTCGTAATTAGTCTATATTTAGTACTACATACATCTAAACATTCGATATGACAGGAATTTTAGAAACGCAAGCAGAAACAAACAGGGCCTATTTGTTGACTAGTGGAGCTATGCAGCTGGCCACGGGACAGTTAAAACAACTATGGCCTTGTTTAGATTCTAAGTTTTTTCACTCTTTCTTCATCACATCAAATCTTTGGACATATGTATGGAGTATTAAATGTAGATAAAAAAAATAACTAATTACACAGTTTAATTGTAAATTACGAGACGAATCTTTTGAGCCTAGTTAGACCATGATTGGACAATAATTGTCAAATACAAACGAAAATGCTACAGTACCGAATATTGATTCCTAACCACGAACTAAACCAGGCCTATGTGTTGTCAATCATGTTGTTAGCCACGAGCAATACAAAATTCGCAAACCGACAGATCGGCAAGCATACGTTATTGGATTTGATTGATGCATGGAGTGGAGAGCTTTTTTTCGAAAAAAAAAAGATCATGGAGAGGTGAGAGCCCTTTTAATTCGCCACCGACAGTGCCAACTGCCATGAGCTGGTAGGTACTAGGTACGTCTCACTCACTGTGGCACACGCACCTTCCTTCCCTAGCAGTAGCAGAGCAGTGTAGGGGAAGGGAAGGCCACAGCACCAGCCCCAGCACCCAGCACGGCAGCACCCACCCTCCACGGGTCAACCACCCCCCTCCCTCTTCAAAACTCCCCACCCCGGTCGAAGGTCACCTCGCTCAGTCCGTAACCCATCGCCAGGACCAGGAAGGCTCGCGGCTCGCCACCGCCTGCCCCAGCCATCCAAAGCGTCCCCATCCATGCGCCGCTGACCGCGCTCGCCATCAAAGCCAACTCTACCCGAGCGAGGGAAGGCAGCTCTCAGCCCAGCAGCCGGCCGGCCGGCAGCTAGCCATGTATTCGGCCAACCACTGGGGCGGCTCGTTCGAGATCGCCGATGGCGCGGCGGAGGACGACCACAGCCGCAACATGGACCTGGACCGCGGCGCGCTGTCGGCGCGGCAGCACCACGAGCTGGACGAGACGCAGCAGAGCTGGCTGCTAGGCCCGCCGGAGGCCAAGAAGAAGGACAAGTACGTGGACCTCGGATGCATCGTCGTCAAGCGCAAGGTCCTGTGGTGGGCCTTGTGGTGCGTCGTCGCCGCTTTCGTCCTCATCGGCCTCCCCATCATCATCGCCAAGTCCATCCCACACAAGAAGCCCGGCCCGCCGCCGCCCGATCAGTACACAGAGGCGCTGCACAAGGCGCTCCTCTTCTTCAACGCCCAGAAATGTGAGTTTGAATTTTTGTTGAGAAAAAAGTTGATTTTTTTGGAAACTCTGCTCTGCTACAGACCATGTCATGTGTGGATACCACGATAGTATAGGAGTATTTGTATTTGTTAATCCATCCATCAGCTGAAACATGTGTGGATCTGCCATTTTTACTGCAACTTGCAGAGCAAAATTCGATATATAGCAGTCACATATTATGAGAAAATTGATCGAATTGCCATTTTTGACCATTCATTATCTTGAGTTCTTGCACCTCGGTACAGCTGTCCACAGCTTCATGCAACCCCACCAGCGGAATGTTCTGTCCTGTTTTCCTGTCACTACTACACCTTTAATTTAATTTGCAGAAAGTGACGGTCTGAATCTGATGTGGGGATGGAGAAATCGCCCAAATCCCAATTGCCTTCGAATCGGTAGGAGTAGGATAGGAGGAATCTTGGCACGTTCGCTCACATGTATGTAGATGTAGGCCACCAAGTTGATCCATTCTTTAAGTAACACAGCGCAAAAAATTCAGCTTTAGGATCTGAATCAAGTTAACTGCGTGTAGGTAGATCTTGCTGAATTGAATTAATTCTCCGTTCTTGTAGCATATATGTACTTACTTCATCTTTTCCCGAATCGCCTGTACTCTCTGTGATTCTCTGTTCTTGCTGAATTCTATGTGGACCTTGCACGGAGTACAGTGTGCCTGTAGATCTTGCCTACTGTATTCTGTGTGATCGACAGTATCTGTTTGCTCAAATTGAAGATCGTCTCTCCGATCCGATCTCTTATCATACATAAGATGATAAGAACAATTAAAATTTTGACAGCCGGCCACCTTCCCAAGAACAATGGCATCAAGTGGCGCGGGAACTCTGGGCTGTCAGACGGCTCCGACGCCAAGGACGTCAAGGGTGGCCTCGTCGGCGGCTACTACGACGCTGGCGACAACATCAAGTTCCACTTCCCGATGGCCTTCTCCATGACGCTGCTGAGCTGGTCGGTGATCGAGTACAGCGCCAAGTACAAGGCCATGGGGGAGTATGACCATGTCAGGGAGCTCATCAAGTGGGGCACCGACTATCTGCTACTCACCTTCAACTCCTCTGCTTCCACCATCGACAAGTTATACGCTCAGGTAAACAACAAGACGCTCATCTTCATCTTCTAGAATACAGTATATATAAATCTAGAGACATGCATGAAAGGTCTAACAATTAACGCTGAAATATGCAGTATCTTGTGACATTTTATCTCCTTCTGCCCACCACTATATATAGTGAGCAATTTGTCCCAATCCTTTTCCTTTGAATAAAATCTAAGAGGAAATATGAGTTTTACTACTTACAAGCAGTTTACAGAAAATACTACAGTGAGTGAGCTCATCAAGTGGCAATTTAGTTCTGCAGTTTATTAATGGGCCGGCACACCCAAGAACCTTTTGACTTGCCACATGGCTTGATAGTAAAATAAGGTTCAGCTTCCAACCATCCGCATGTGCTTGCCATGTTCCTATACAAGCAAAACTAGTTGCTTGCTTTGTCTGCTGGTGCGATCGAGACCATTTTTTTCCTTCCAATTTTGATGCGATCTAGAACATGACTCAGTACTACTGGCCATATGCATGATAACGGTGAGAAAATACCCAAATAAAATGCTTAGTTTGTAGCGCAAGACAATTTCCCCACCAAATGGAGAACTAGCTTGCATTCTCAGCTTGCCACCAGTTGCATTCTGGATTCAAAATATAATCACGGGCAAACAATTTTTATTGGAAAAAAAACTGAAACTGAAACATGTGAAGTCAAGTAAATAAATTTGGCAGCTCCCTTCAGAGTTCAGACACTGCTAATAAATTTCAGCCGTGAATCCGTAGGTGATGACTGTTGACTTAGCTTGCTCGTGCAAATTAAAATGGTGGTTGTCTCGTATTGAATTTGATCTGGTACGTGCTTGGTCCGTCCAGGTGGGTAGTGCAAAGATCAACGGCAGCCGGCCGGACGACCATTACTGCTGGAACCGGCCGGAGGACATGGCGTACCCTCGGCCTTCACTGTCGGTGAGCTCCGCCCCGGATCTGGGTGGCGAGGTCGCCGCGGCCCTGGCGGCCGCCTCCATCGTGTTCCGCGACAACGCCGCCTACTCCAAGAAGCTGAGCCAGGGCGCGGCCACCGTGTACAAGTTCGCGCGGCAGTCGGGGCGGCGCACCCCGTACTCGCTCCGGCAGCCGGACATCGAGTACTACTACAACTCCACCAGCTACTGGGACGAGTACATGTGGAGCGCGGCGTGGATGTACTACGCGACGGGCAACAACAGCTACATCACCTTCGCCACCGACCCGCGGCTGCCCAAGAACGCTAAGGCCTTCTTCAACATCCTCGACTTCTCGGTGTTCAGCTGGGACAACAAGCTCCCGGGCGCCCAGCTGCTGCTGTCGCGGCTGCGCATGTTCCTCAACCCCGGGTACCCGTACGAGGAGTCGCTCATCGGCTACCACAACGCCACCAGCCTCAACATGTGCATGTACTTCCCGCGCTTCGGCTCCTTCAACTTCACCAAGGGCGGGATGGCGCTCTTCAACCATGGCAAGGGGCAGCCGCTGCAGTACGTCGTCGCCAACTCCTTCATCGCCGCGCTCTACGCCGACTACATGGAGGCCGTCAACGTCCCCGGCTGGTACTGCGGGCCAAACTTCATGACCACCAACGACCTCCGGGAGTTTGCAAAGTCTCAGGTAGGAGGATCCAGTAGGAATAATTCATTTCCTCTCTCTCAAGAAGATATATATATGCATGCATCAACCATGGTGCTCCTGCCTCCTCCTGCAGATCAACTACATTCTTGGTGACAACCCCAAGAAGATGAGCTACGTGGTTGGGTTCGGCAAAAAGTACCCGCGGCACCTGCACCACCGTGGCGCGTCCACGCCGCACAACGGCGTCAAGTATTCGTGCACCGGCGGCTACAAGTGGCGCGACTCCAAGAAGGCGGACCCGAACCTCCTGACGGGCGCCATGGTCGGCGGGCCTGACAGGAACGACGGCTTCAAGGACTCGCGCAACACCTTCGGGCAGAACGAGCCGACGCTTGTGGGCAACGCCGGCCTCGTGGCGGCCCTGGTGGCTCTCACCAACAGCGGCAGGGGAGTCGGCGTCACCACCGTCGATAAGAACACCATGTTCTCCGCCGTGCCGCCAATGTTCCCCGCCGCTCCGCCGCCGCCGTCGTCATGGAAGCCGTGAGTACTACTACACGATCGGTACGGTCGTTTGGTCATACGATTTTTGGTGAGATCGCCGATCACGTACGCGCGCGAATTCTTTTGTACAATATACCACGTTAACAGTACTGTAAGCAAATACGTACTTCGCACGGTGGCATGCATCATGCGTGACCTGTAGATGTTTTTATGGATTACATTACAGTTAATGAATGGATGAATACATGCCTTCGCAATCAATGTTCAGTTAGCTCGTGGTTCTATTCTCTCACACGTACTATATATGTGCTATTCTGCTTCTGCATGCGGTACGAAATTAAGTTTGTTATACGACAATTTTTGGTTGTATATAATAACTGACCGCTAAATCCAAAACCAGAGCACGATTCCAGGCAAAGTTTGGTTTGGCATAGCAATAGCATGTGGTCATGTGGATGTGAACATGTTCCCAAAGTTCCCTCTGCAGTAGAAAGCGAGATTAGCAAACACCGAAATTAGCCTTGCAAGGAAAAGCAAAAGCATGTCGGACCTTTTGGAAAAATCTGAAGCCTGCGAAATGATAGCTCGAAAAACACCACAAATTCAAGACCAACCTCATTATTTGAGAGCCAAAATTGGTAAGAAAATAATTAAAAAAAATGGTAAGAAAGACATTCTTCCAGCCGGCGAACATCTTGGTTGCTTGGATGGTGTCTTTAGAACATCTAGCGCTACTGTTCTAGGATCCAAAAATATCTAAAATTTATAATGAAACATGACAAAAACATGAAAATCGGCCTCGCTAAGCTGGACAAAAAAAAAACCTAAAGCTTAGTGCTTAGATAGTGTTTACATCAAAATTTGGGAAGGAGAACGCGGAAACTTGAAGCTTCCAAGATCGTGTCAATCGGGGAATTGATCGCATAAGGATCGATATCAGCTGATTCAGATGCGGCACCGGAATCGGCTCTCTTCGAATGACGCCAGCAGATAACGACAATGAGCTACGGTTGGTGTCGGGGAAAACATGTCGGACTCTAAAAAAAGAAAAAATTATGGTCTAAGTTATCTTAAATTAGGAATGTTTTATTTTATACCAAAGATTATAATAACTCGTACTTGAGTAGGATTCCTACTTAGGCTCCGGGTATAAATATTGAACCCCGGCTATTGTAAATGGATATCCAATCAATCAAATATAATTTTTTTGGTTCCGTGCCAACCCTTAGGAGTAGGAGTAGAGTAGATCCCGTTGAGTTCTTCAACAAGTAGGGCTGCATCGGTCCGGCCGACCTCTGGCTTGTCTGTAAGTACCGTCATGGATTATACTTCTGTTTGTACGGCTGCATCGGTTAAGTTCGACCTCCACTCGAGCTCTAGTATAAGCTAGTTATTGACTCTTGTCTAGTTCAAGTACGGCTGCATCGATCCAGTCGACCTCCACTGCTCGAATTAGATTAAGGTTAAGTTATCGGCTCTACCTAAGGGTAGCGTCCTTCGGGTAGATTCATTAAGTTACCGATCTTACTGATGTTTTTATTGTTATTAGTTTGCAGCAACATCAATCTGCCCGGTCGAGATTGATTTAGATCGGTCTCATATCCTTTCAGTCCATCGTTCGCTTTGGCACAAAACGGTGTTTCTTACTCTGAGCGACGGGTTATGTCTCATCGGCTGTTCTCTTTCGATCTTGATCGTGCATAGTACACGGTTAAGGCACATATGATCTTGAAGAGGTTTGCTGGCTAGTTGAATCTGGTCTATAGTTCGCTATTATGGCTGCAACGATCCGGTCGATCCCCACTGATGGCACTATAGATTGGAGGACGTTAGTTGGTAGGTTTGTTCTCGATCAGGCGTGACCTTAACTGTTTGCTATGCCTGCATCGGTTAAATAGCCGATCGCCTATGCTTTAACGCCTACAGTGTGCGTCCATGATTCTATTAAGCATGAATAGATCTGTGTACTTTAAGGATTTGATTTATTGTCTTTATCACGGCTGCATCGATCCGGTCGAACCCCACTGTTAGAGATAGTAGGTTAAGTCTGATGAGCCATAGGTTTGTCCCTGTGAAATAGTCGGTTGTTCACATGCTGTAGTCCATTTTCACCTGAATCAACTATTTTAGTCGATTCGTCCGAGCCTTCACGTATAGCATATCTTTCGGAAAGCCTGTCGAAGTATAGATGTTTTTGCGAATTCTTCGGTTTTAGTTTGTTATTATCATCATAGCTGCCATCGATCTGGTCGAACCTCACTGTTGATGGTAACAGATTAGATTCAGAGCGTTTGTAGATCCATTTGTATTATACAGTCAATTTGTTCACATGTTATATCCTTTCTTGATTAGATTCATCGGCTCAACGATTCACACTGGTAATTTCCACCTAGCTGATGATCTCGTTTATATTTGCGGGTATTGTATTTATCAACATAAAATCAATCACGATCCAAAAGCTTTACTGTCCATAACAGCCGTTTCTGTGCGTATCGGTTATTTAGTCGATTTTTTCGTCTAGCTGCTTCCGAAGCGGCACACTTGGAACTGTCTGGGCAAAGACCGGCATGTTTCACCTTAAATTTCTAATAAACTTTCTCTCCTTATCAATTACAGGTCAAATTGACTGGCACGCCTTAGGAGGAATTCGTAGGATCGGTTAACCCTACGTTGAAGCCAAGCGGAACTCTGGGCTCATCCTAAGCAGATCCTTTTGGCTTGCTGTGTGTCAACACATTTTCGTACCGACACACGTTTTGGCACGTCCGGTGGGACACCACAATCGTCATGGTGACTTACAACAACAATGACATCCTTATGGTGCCTTATGAAGACCTACCTGATGGAGATAAAGATGTCATCAGCAAAGTCATAGAAGAATTTTAGAACAAGTGTTTGTTGTCCTACACCAAGACAAATGACAATAAAATTATTTAGAAATATCTACTATCAAGAGTTCTGTTGCATGGGCAGACAGATGCAGATGAAGCTGAATACAGGTGTTTCTTCATAGAGGCTGTAAACAAGTCTGTTCATGATGCCATGTTGAACCATAATGAAGTTTTCTTGAACACAGTCCACAACACCATGAAAGAGGTGTTTCATAGATATCCAATTGATCAGGTTGGGCCGGCTTATTACAACATTCCATATCCGTTGACTTAGGGGACTAATCAAGCCAGTACTAGCCATCAAGAAGCAGCACCAGCTGGTAATGATGATGTCCAGGTGGTTCAGAGCTCATCTGAGCAAGTTTAGGGTGCTACTACTAATCAGATACAGTATAATCCTGGATTGTCAGAACAACATGTGCAACAGCCGATGGGGCAAATTCAGAATCAAATGGTCAATTTTGGCACATCAGGCCAGATACCGTCGTCGGCTCAAAAAATAGCTCCATCAGTTCAAAGGATTAGTAGAGATATAGATCCTAACATCTACAACCAGAGACTTCAAGCAGCAAACCAGCAAATGACCCATCAGATAGAGATTCCACAGGGGTATCATTATGGCACAGATTACAACACCCTTCATATGATTCCAAATCCACGGTATCAAGGTACTCGAAATTTTAATCCACATGTGAGTCAGCAATTACAGAGAAATCCAAATTCAAATGCTTATGAATTGTTGCTTAGAGTGTCCGAGTTGATGAAGAATCAGTTTAGTTTGAAGCCAAAATGGGATATCTTCTCGTACAAACGTCCATATCCAGAATGGTATGATTTGGTCGCTCTTCCTACAAATTACAGGCTCCCAGAGTTTGCCAAGTTCACTGGCCAAGATAGCACAAGCACAATAGAATATATCAGTGGGTATCTTACACAATTGGGCGAAGCATCCATTGAAGAGGCCCATCGAGTTTGTTTCTTCTCCTTGTCCCTGTCGGGGTCAGCTTTCACTTGGTTTTCATCACTGCCAGTTAACTCCATTGCCAATTGGGCTGACCTAAAGAAGAAGTTTCATACATATTTTTATACTGGGACTGGAGAAAAGAAAATTACCGATTTGACGACTATAAGGCAGAGAACTAATAAATCGGGCATCGAGTTTCTTCAGAGGTTCTGAGAGACCAAAAATCTGTGCTTCTCATTGAACTTGACTGATGATCAGCTAGCTGCATTTGTCATTTAAGGAATGTTGCCAACATGGAGAGAGAAGTTGCTGGGGCAAGAATTCAACAATTTAGGTCAGTTGGCTCAACGAGTGGCAGCGCTCAATAGCCAATTTCAGAACATGCGCAGAGATACCCGATTCCAGAAGAATGCCGCAATTGTCGAAACCTATAATCCATATTCGGTTGATGACGGCTATGAAGACGATGAAGAAGAAGAGGTTGTCGCGGCTGAATAGAATTGGGGTAAGAAGACAGTAATGGTGCCAAATCCTTGGGAAAGAGGAGTCGAAGAGAGCTACGATTTTGACGTCACAAAATCAGATAAGCTCTTTGATTTCTTACTTGAGAAGGGACAGATCAAGTTGTCCGATAATCATGTTTTGTTGCCCACCGATCAGTTAAAGAACAAGAAGTTCTGCAAATTTTATAATACCACTTCTCATTCCACTAATGAGTGTAGAGTTTTCCGGCAACATATACAGAGGGCTATTCTGCAAGGAAAGTTCAAATTTAATACACCTTGAAAGATGAAAGTTGATGATAATCCTTTCCCAAGAGATCAGAACATGGTTGATGCTAGGATGCTCAAAGGGAAGACTAAAGTCCTAACATCAGTTAGATCAAAGGAAACTAGAACAGTCGATCCCGATATGCAAATATCAACTGATGAATATAGAGAAATTAGAAGGCGTTGTTACCAACAAAAGAGCCGATATAAGCAGGGGGAGACGTCAAAGGATGGGGTAACAAAACCACGTGTTACATCTCGAATTTTGTTAAATAAATGGCTGCGGCAGAAGGAAAAGGATTTTCAGCGTTTGTTAGAAGAGCAAGAATACCAGTGTCAATAGAAAAAAGAGAGGTATGAAAGAAAGCAAGCTGAATCACATTGGAATTATCCTTTCTTCAGACATTGCTGGAACGAA